CACACACACACACACACACGCACACGCACACACACAATTACACACACACACACACACACGCACAATTGCATGCGCGCGCGCACACGCGCACACGCTCACGCACACACGCACCCACACAGAGGCAGCCCCTCACTCGTCCACAGTCCATCACTCTCACAATGTCCACAAATACTCCCCTGTTCACCAGTCTGACGGTGGTTTAACTGTCCCAACGTTCTCTTTTCTTCCTCAGCAGGGCAGGCCAGGAGTTCCTAACGGCGTGGGTCCCATGGGCATGGCACATCACCACCCTATGGCAGGATACCACGAGGTGAGGACATTTCTGTGGCACTGAGGAGAAATCAGGAGTGCATTATAATGAAATTGAAAAAAAAAACCCAAAACCCCCCCCCCAAACTGGGCATTGCACGTCAACCTTAGAGCCAGACATGTGGAGGGTTGGCGGGTGCTCTGGTGTGGTTTGCTCCTCTTTAAAAACCAGAACCCTTTGAAATGCATGGTTTTCCATTTAGAGGCTGGACAATCTGTTATGACAACCCAAAACCCCCCCCCCCCAAAAAACTACATTTTTTCTATCCTTGGGCTTTTGAAAAAAATTTATTTAAAAGAAGAAAAAAAAACACGTTTGATGTCTACTAGGAAAAAAAAGCACAACCTATTTTTTGAGTGGATTTTACTGAAAAATGTTGATCAAAGCACATTAAATGTTCATTTGCAGTTTACAAGAATACTCAAGCTTTGGAAGTCACCAAACTGATGCTCATTTTCTCACTAAGTTTACCCTTGGCACAAGCTGACCCCCCAACCTCCTTCAATCAAAAATATCTCAATTTCTGATAATGGTTTGGTTGGGTGGGTTTTTTTTATTACCCAAACCCAAGACAAATGAACAAGCTGCAAGATGATACAAATGACTCCATATGACCAAAAAATGGACAAGTGTCTTCATTCCACTGTGGCACTATCTACCAGATGTACTGGGCCCCACATTTTGAACCTTTAGATTTTTTTTTATTGCAATGTCTTAATCTTCAGGTCCTTGAGACTATTGCAAAAGAATAAAAGATTTTTTCTCTCACCTGAAAAATGTTGCTTTCTGAGCTGAGTTTAGTTGAATATCTATCTCACAGACAAAAGCCCACCACTGTGTGGACTGCAGTCGTGAGTTGTTGACAAAGGCCCATGTCAAAGTTCACAGTGTATAAGTCAGTCTGTGACGAGCTGCGGTGAGGGATTAGAGGGTGAAGAAGTTACTGCGCATCAATAGCTCAGTGTAAAACCCCGCCACACATCACTTTTCAGAATATGACAGGAGTCTTGCCCTAAGCTGTCGATATATCGCCTCTATTAATTTTTGTGCCTTTGATATGAGATCGATCCCC